GATCGTTTTCGAAGAAGCAATTCGACTTTTGCTTGTTGTTTCGGAGATACGCATTGCTCGCACGTGAAACAGACGTCCACGTCATTGTGACACTGCCAAATATATCTTGGACTCGTCAATGGGGAAACAGCATTAGACCAAAGTTGAAATCCGTCCCAAAGTTAGCCGCTTCCTTCACTACGCAGAGAGTAGATGACTGTAGCAATATGTTCGCTGAGTCGGTAACTGTATGTACGAGCAGTCGCTTTGAACTGTCCAACAGTTGAGCAGCTGTTGCTTAACATGGCGCTGCTGGTATTGCAACTGTATACTGGATAAATTTTATTACGTCTTTCTTATGCTTTTGCTTGATAAATACGCTTCGGGAACTCGCGTGAAGATTCAGCACCGTCCTATGTACGCGTGTCTGTGCTCGTCCGATTCGTCGCGACCATTTGCGTGTTTTCCGTTGGGTCTCAAGTCTACGTTTGATTTTGAATAATTTAAAAGGTACTATTGTATGTATAATACCGACCACCAGGCATCTTTAATCTGCACATAAACCCAGACATCAGAGCGATATTAGTCATGTACATGGATCGCTGGCACCAGCCGTCTATCTGTGCCATATCTCTGATCAGACTCTTATTCGTTACAAACTAGTTCCGATTTCGCACCTCGGCCGATGATTTCGCTACAATGGGCGCAAAACTTACCGGTTAAGTGCGAGAAATCATGTTTAAATAATTGCATAAATTAGTTACTCAGGCGCCTTATATGACTCCGTCGTCTGACCGACTTTTCTTTTCTTTGAGAACCATTAATCTACGCTTCTGAATGCGTATCGATTCCAGCTAGCTATTATTTACGGAGTATCGGCGTCTTTGTGCTCAACGAACTTTCGTGAGTAGCTGTCCTGGCAATGCACCACGGCCGACATCGCTGAAGCGAAGGGCGTAAAAGAAATGCTAAACGCCGTCCGTAAGCTACAGTAGCCAAAACCTAAATGGCAGGATCCCCTTCGATTCCTACTATGTGCACTATACGTTCCTAGTACAACAGTGAAGACTCTCAAGCGTGACAACGTTCGGCATACAGTCGACGTTACGAGATGCGGTTCGAGCGCAGAGCATCAATAAGCGAGTAAATTTGTTTTTACAAAATCCAAATAACTTTTTTTCATTACTGTGGCTACGTATCAACACAGCGGATACAAACATCACACGGTCAACGTACTTCGTCACTGATACACTAACAATGCATTGATTAAAACAAGCCTTGAATCCCACTACAGCTGTGAGGAAAACTCATTGATCTGCAGTCAATCGACGTCCGCTCGCGAGTCTACCAGGATATAGCGGTGGAGAGACAAAGCAATCTCAAATAGATGATGAAAGCATAGTAGGTATACATTTGTACGCGTTTGTTATAAAAAGACACGGAACACATAGAAGTGGGCTTAATTATAATACAGACTTGCCTCCGGTGGGCATTTAGTAGAACTAATGTGTCACACCAAAAAGATCGAATGTTCACAAAAATAATCTGAAGACGCGCATATCTAATGAAGGCTAAGATTTTGTTTACACATAATGCATATCTACATAATGACATGTATAACTTTTCTTTCTACAGGAGGTGTTCAAGATCATCACCGTTCTAATCATACGGATGGAGCATTGACATCAATGAATATTTTATTTGTTGTCTACTGGCTTAATGCAAGGGGCTCTTGAATGGCCAAATATCTATCGATTTTTGGACGGCGTAGACGTTCTAGTCAAGGGATATCGACAAAAATCGGCAAGAATGAACGCAACCAAGTTGATCAACTATGGAAAATTGTAACTTCACTGGCCGAAAGGATCTTTTTCGAAAACTGTACATTTTAGTTAGGTTTTTCCACGTACCAATGGTAAAGATGTTTTTTCCGGTCCGGACCATCTCAGTTGATAGACCGTACGCTTGTTAGGACGCTACTTTGGCCGCTAGTGAAGCCCGTCGATGTTTTTATTTTTCCGGAACGTTCTCTGCGCTCCAAAGTCACCTTTTATCCGACTAATTACGTGTTGCCTAGGTGGGCAGGAAGTTGCCTGTGATTTTATTTGAGCTAGATTTGTGTATTTTCAGTAGCATTTAGAATAGAGTTTCCTTTGCTCAATTCAGTTAACTGTAGTCTACTCACTATTTCCAATGGTTCACGTCGAAAACAACAAGAAACTGTATATAGCCTGTATATATATTATTGCGTTTTCAGATGGTGCGTGCAATCATCGGTGGCGCCCAATTCAAAAAGAGAGTACGTTTTCAGAGTGACTGAACGCTAATATCTTACTTAGTAACTACCCGACTAGTGTTCCACTGTACTTAATCCGAATACTCCGCTAATTGTTACAATGGGACGCGTATAGCTGGTCCAGGATTACTCAATGAGGAGTAAACATCACTGATCAAATATAATACAATATTACTGAGACGTTCACCCGACGCATACGATCCAACAACCTAATTAAAAAAGAAAAAAAAAATAAATAAGCCCTGCATTTACGCGAGTACACGTTTCGCTAAGGAGCAAGTTCTATTGATTGAATATCTTTACTAATAGAATGTAGATATTATACACGAAACGTGACCTGCGCAATTATTTCCACCAGTACATTCTTCGTGTGCAACCAGACTGTACATTACCATAACGAAAGGACGAATAGACCTTTGCAGTTCTAATAATTAACTTAATAAGTAGACTATTAATTGAAAATCGCGACAAACCAGCAGACCGGAAGTCAATATACGTTGCCACAACTTCTGGGCGTTCGATAATCCATCCCTTTTAGTCCGAAGTCACTGCGTCGTGTCCGCCATGTTGGATCTCGGCCAGCGCTACTACGTCCTCTACTTCATGATTCTATGGATCTCCGCCTTATTTGTTTCTTCGACGATAGGAAAATAGTGTAAAACTAACTCTGACAAAAACAGCAGGTACAAGGTTTAATGCAGGACAACGCTATTCATCGTTATTTCGATGCGCACATCCCAGGAGCATTACTAGGTAAATCGAGTTCGAAACACAGGCCTTGACCATCTGGCCAGAACGCAACAGGTCTGACTCGAAACAAATGAATCGTGTTTAGTCTCAATCTTAAACTAGTTAATTTTGAGATTGACCTCGTTCTAGATGTCCCATATGTGTTGCAGGGAATGTGTTTCTTATAAGAATATTCGTATCATCCTATTTGTCCGTCTGCTTAACGCAGTGTGCGACACAGTCAGCGATAATCAGTGGTCGGGTATAGAACGCATGCCCTATTGTCTTCATTTTTTCACCAGGATAACCAGATCAAGTAGCGGTTACCCACACATGAAGAAGCCCATTTTCGAAAACGTGTCAGAGTCGAAATGCCTCTTATATTAGAAGTGTGTTTTAGCTGCCGGCAGATTTGACGATTTCTCTCGGTACATGTTCAAAAGATCAAAAGAAAAAGGAACAATTCCAGACGGAGCCCGTGTACACTACATCAGTTCGTTGTCTATCGGCAACGGCATGAATGAGAATCCTGCACCCTTTGCTCTAAATAATAAATGTACATCCGATATCGGCATGGGGCATTGTTTCAGGTGGCTGATTCTAATGCATTGAACTAAGTCTGTCTAGGTCGCTGATTTGCTACGTAACAATATGGCCGCTACACCGTCGCGAGGGCATTGACCATAGGCTGTTTTTATCATTAATGCTTGCCGCTAATGATTTTAGCAGGTCGAGCTGCGAAGGACTGGAGAAGAAGGACTAGGGGTGGCGTTACGCTTGAAGTCGATAGATCGATACCCAACGCATCATTTCGCCTCAGCTCCTTCTTGACATAGGTTCACCTCTTATTAGATAGTTCAACTTCCTCTAAACTTTAACGTAGTTACAATTCTTGGGTTATCTGAAATAATGCGTTCAATATAGCCTAGATCGGTATATGCGTCTCTTGAGGAGTAGATGTTCGGTGATGTGAACTCTAGATCAATTATACTGATTTTGACCTTACAAGCTGGCAGCAAATCCAACAATTTTTATGAACGACAGCCCGACACAAATTAGCCTTGTGAAGCAACGCTCGCTGAGAAATAGAAATCTGCAAGACAGCGGATGCTTAGGAAATTTATCTAAAATTTGCCTATATAAATGATTAGACTGACAAACGTATATTGTATCCCTATTCGTTATCTTAAATGTACTACATTTTCAATGAAAATTAAAAATAAATAATTAAGATAAATTCGTGAAAAGGTCTGCCTTAGGGAATACTGCGTCTTCATTTGCTATGCTCAACTTCGATAGGTTACTTTGTTTGCTTATGAGAAAAACTCCAATTCAATATGGAAGACTGTTTTAGTAATCAAGCAGCCGGTATCAAGTGCTCCCCCATACTACGATAAAAACACCGCAATGGATGAATTGACCAAATCATATAAATCTGCTGGCTCTAAATGCTGGTTAGTTTTTATAGCACTGAGAAAATAAGTATACGTTTGCTTACTGGTCTATCGTGTAGTCACAAACGGCTCGAATCAGACGGTGGTGATCTGATGAAAAAAACACTGGCCAACGTCGCTTTCTGATCAATAGCTAGTCATTCCAAGGTCCGTAAAGCAGTGCTGGACATAGGGACTAACAAATCGCCGAGTTTTTCTGGGGGAAACATCCTTTTACCTATATTGGGGCTTGACAGCTTTGTTTTTTTAGTTTTCTTTGTGCGGAAGAATGAAGTAGATGTTGGATGTTGCGGGGTCAGGGCGGCGATTCGTTGCACATACTACTGTTCTATATGTCAGTTTGTTAGCTTAAGGTAATTCCTCAAATATATAATAAATCGAAGCAGATTATAGGATTATAGACAGCTGTGTTTCGAAAGATTCAAACACTGAAGTAGTAATATTCTCTTCGTAGTAATTTTGTGTACCTTGATTTTAGAGTTCTTGTTTTTTGTGTTTTTGAGTATAGCTGGTTTACTATGAATAGTAAGTGAGAAACGTACCCATCCCGCGAGTTGAGTTTCTAGCTTTCTTTTCGTCCTATGTGTGAAGCTAGTCAATGGTGACAATTTTTGGTGCTGAAGGTATCGTCGATACTAATAAACATAGTAGATCTGTAACTATCCAAGTTGCTCACAACTGTTCTACCGTGTCGCCGCTGTTTTCAATCGGTTGACTGTTATTCGTCTTACAGCAGAAGCAGAAAAAACAATTGTTTGTTTCAACATGTAATTTGCGCGAAATCTTAATCGCAACCTGGACTCTGTACAGCACAACTGCCGATCCTCACAAAATAACACCAACTAAAATAAACAACCAGTTTTAGGTAGGACAAACGTTTCGCTCAGAGTTAATCGATCGCCATGGTCACTTTTGCCGGTACGAAACTAATCGTTGCTTGCTACGACACGTATTACACGTAGACGTTCTAGACCCGGGTGCAGATATGAGCGACACGATGTATTCGTATGTATCATCAGCGTCTATTATAACAGTTTTTCTTACAGAAAAAAGTCGCTTTGCCAACTTCAGCTTCGTTAGCGCCGATACGCTCGGGCGAAGTGCGATGAAGTCGACCGTCAACTAACTGTTGGATAGATATCTCAAGCCGAGCCGGGCAAAAAAAGCAAAATGGCTGCCTTCCAACACAACGTCACTCATGTGTGTATCTACCGCAAACAAACAGTCCAGCAGTGCCCAGCTGCCAGGTCACTTCAGCTCCACCTACAACTGATATCACAGAAGTTGTGCTTGAAGTGGATGGAACATAAGTAGCAATGATTCTCAGCTGATTTATCCGTTCACGAATAGGGGACTCCGCTATCACTGCCTGATCCACTGACTGACTGACTGACGAAAGAGACAGATGGCAGGCTCTGTACCCTGCTCTGTGCCACTGAACTGACAGAATTTCAGCGCTGACGGCGTGAGCACCCACAAACGCCCGGCAACAGTCACAAACAGGCGAGCAACAAAGCACTATAGCTGAAGTAAATTCGCTACTACACCTCACTTGCTGTCTGTTCTACGAAGCCGTCGTCCCTTCGCGGCCGCTTTCTAGAGGCGCAGAGATGCCGATTAAATCAAAGCTGAGCGATGTGGCAAAGCGCCGGGCGTAGCAACCAAGTGACTAGTCAGCCAAGCAACAGTCAGTCGCTCTGCCACTGAGCAGCCTAGGCGGCAGCAGCGACGACGACGACGACTGGTCCGCACTCCGCCGGCGTCCGCTTGTGTGGAGCGTCATAGACGGCAGTGACTGCGTCCAGACAGAGCACGTGACCAACCGGCACCAGTGGGCCTCCAATAGCGCCAGCAAGCGTCGATGTAGCGTACTCTCCTGCCGCACGCAGACAACGAGGATTCACCGAAAGAGTAACGAATGAGTAACAGATACAACAACGCCACAACGTACAGCCTCTCTTGCCCGTGCTGTTGGATTGTTTATGCTGCTAGATCTGTTATGAGCAGCAGCAGCAGTAGGCGACCATGATGCTGATGGCAGCAGCTGGCACAACGATGGCTGTCGCTTCTCGATAGATCGCTGCGTCTGTCATTCGGCCAGCGCCGATGATGAGTAGATAGCAGCTAGCCAGCGTCAGTCAGGCAAAGCAGTGATGGGGAACGCTTGCTTCACTCTTCGACTCTTTTGTCGATTGTGCGTAACGCGTACCAACGACGCTCATATAGGAAAGCAGCACACGGAGTCCCCGTCCCAGCGGCACCAGGCGGTAGTAGGAGCAAAATCAAAGCAAAGGGAAATTACCTGTAATAGTCGTAGTAGTAGTAGTAGTAGTAGTAGCAGCAGCATTGGAACAGAAAAGCTTTCTCGCACGGTAACTGACTATGGTTGCCGCTGCTGCCGTAACTGTAATGGCTGGTGCGGACACCGCGCGATGGATACCGCTGCCGTCAACTGCCGATACAACCTCTGTCGTAGACACCTACAGATTTCGGTCAGTCAGGCAACACGAAGACTACAGGCGTCCGTGATCCTGCTAGTGCCAGATAGGGGAAGAAGCGGCAGGGAAGCTGGTTGCCGTTGTGTGTTATTGGGCTAACCGTACACCACTACAGAAGTAATGGTGCCTCTGAGATATGTATATATAAGACTATAGTCTGGAGCAGATACGACAAGACTAAATAGCTGCATTTATTCTATCGGACCCTATAGATGAACAGTGGCAGGGATGGTGTTGGGCTTTATTTTTTCTCGTTTAACAATTATGAGGCTACGTGAACGAAACAACCAATGAGCCCAAATGCCGAAGTTGGCCACATTTGCCAGTCAGCAACCCACTATTAGCACTGGAAGGCTGAATGTTTCCGCTTTACCTCAAACACGTCTACACAATTATTCTTAATCGCTATTATCTCGCCTTTCTCCTACTTTGGCCGTGTACTTCTTGCGCGTTAATACTGAAAATTAAGCAGTTAATTTAATTATGAAGAAAAAACATGTTATTTAAATACGATAGTTTGATGATCCGCTGGGTTGAGGCTACGAGGATCCGAAAAAGAGGAGGTTACATGTATGACTCTGTAGATGCAATATAGAGCCCGAAAAGCCTCGCAGTAGATGTGTATCGAGTGTCTGGCGCCAGAGGGCGCCACCGATTTGATAACACCAGCACAGAAAAAAAAAAAGAAGAAAATCGTCTAAGCAGAATGGTATTCTGACAAAGGGTTTGAAGCGTTCGGAGCCGTCCTCATTTGTCTAGAAAGATTTCTAGATGTAGCTTTGAAGCAAAAAATCAATTGCTATCAACACACACAAATGCTTACGTATGAGATTTCATTTCAGAGAGAGTCATTTAGGAAGCCTAGAAGATACGATAGCTGTTGGCACACTTTAAGCTGGAGTACACGTCAAAAGCGACAAATCATCTATTTTATAATTATTGACAAAAAAACATGCTCCGTCGACCATTTAAGCAAAACCAATTAAATCGCAAGGTATCGCTAAACTTTACGGAATGCTGCTTGAAAAACCAGCGTGTCGCCTTCAATACATAGGTAAAAGCACATACGAAGTATTGTTAGCCCGGATTTTCTACGGTAAAAAGTTCTGAAAGAGATCGGAACATAAAAATCAGAATACCCATCCCGTATTATAATACGCCTTCAGCTTTCTGGATGATTCGTAGGCATGACACTCGGTACTACGAAGATAAGTGTGCGAGGAAGTTACAAGAGTAATATAACTTACATAGATACCCCCAGTGATAGAGTAGATGAGGGAAAACTTTGCGGGAAGAGAGACCTTCCGTGTGTTGCTCCAACGTTATTATTAAATTATCGACCTCTTATTATACTGCCATTATTATATCGTCGTTGGAGTTTTATGTCCTCCCAAACCAACTGTGTAGCGAAATAATGTCACCGAGAAACCCAGAAAAGTTGATCGGAATGGCGTTGCGTAAGTTAGCCATCCATGTAAAAATATTGTAAATAGAGCACCCGCGGAAACATTTAGTCAGTAGTAGCAATATGAATTACCGTTAAAGATTTAATTGATGTCGGCAGCCTTAATTTACGTCAACACATTCAGAAATAGGTGAAAATCAAATTTCCTGTCAATGGTGCTCATTTTCTCTTACAAGTACAAGTCATTTTCCAACAATATGTAACAAGTTTTTTTATGTTCAACAATGTTAGTTAACTTTTTCTTCCAGACTGCCGGACTCCACGAATAGACGATATAAGTGTAGCAGCTTTATTATAACGTCTCCACCTCAGGTAAGTCTATTCCATTTACACTGATCTCCGCTGTTTTTGCTGCCGTTAAACCTTACACTGGTTAAGGCCAATCAGTTCTGTGGCCTTTCCGTGATCACTACAATTGAACATAAATGGAGTTCTTTTCCTGCCTATAGATGGCGCTGCTTGTTGTGTTGTTCACTAAATAAATATACGATTAGACGTTACGACAAGAGCTTTTATCAGATTGACCTTTATCTACTGAAGGCGTTAATGAGTTCTACAATGGGCTTGAATTAACTCAAAATATTAAATAACATGACTCGTCAACCAGCAAGAACACGTCGTGAGATCAGGCTGAAATCACTTCATAATTTCTGTTATAACTAAATATTATATATTACAAAGTGAGCAGAGATAGAGTGAGAGAGAGAGAGAGAGAGAGAGAGAGAGAGAGAGAGAGGAAGTTGTACGAGCTTGTTTTTATGAACGTTCAGGTCTAAGTCTAGTCCGGTTGAGCTTCAGGGTTAATTAGCTGTTATTATCATATCTTAGTTTCCTAGGAAGGTTTCTATACTAATTATGCCAGTTAGTTTAGCCATATAATTACATAAGCTATCGAATCATTCGAGAAGAGTTTTGGTTGCATATAGATTCTTGTGCGCAATACCCGACTATTGTTTTTATTCGTGGTTATCCACTATACCAGATCAGCAGGTAGAACTCACATCCGAGCCGCCTTAGCGGTACAGTAGAAACGACATCGGCCTTGGCCGTTCAACACCGTTGTAAATTGAATTTCGATAGGCCGACGGTCGAGCCTGTTCGGGTAACATAACTATAGGCATAACCGACTCGTATAGTTATTACATTTGAACAACTCGGCAATTTGTTCAGGGCGTATCTACTGTAGAATCCGTAAAAACGCATAGACCAGAACTGTTATGCTGGTAAAGTTTGCCAGAAGCCTACATCGTTTGTCGATTTATTCCTCCTAACAGTCAGAAGGTTGCAGCAAGACGATCTAATCTTTGGCTTGACTGGACCCACAAATAGTCGGACAGAGAAAATTCAATGTATTTTCAAGATTCGGTGGTCACTAGTGAAGCTTTTGAGATAGCAAGCTGCCGTCATGCGATTTCGCAATTATCGTGAGCAAGTGACCATCCAGTTGAATGCATTGGGAATATCTTCGTGTGGGAATCGGAAGATGAGAGAATTCATAAGGCCTCTCTCTATTAGATGTATTGATGCTATATTCACGAATTTATTTTTTTTTTCTAATGTATTCGTTAAGACTAAACAAACATTTCTTGCTATATGATGTTACCTAGGTGTAGCATGGTTTCGAACCCTGTCCCCCATAATTCTGACTGGCCCAAAAATGGCTTCTAGTTTGGCTCGTGAAAATGGCGAAAAATTATTAGTTAAATCGTCCGTAACGGGCGCACTTAGTCATAGTACGTTATCTCCATTGAATGTTGGTATTCACTACCTCGGCATCAACTTTGTATTGAACTAGAAAGGATAAAGGTTACATATGATTTTATTATACGACCGATTCTCTATCAAATGATATGTTACAGTGAGAATATAACATTTTAGGTAATTCAGGGGGTTCAGAAGTGTGTGGTATTTCACCAGCCATGTCCGTACGAGTGGTGGCTGGTCTTTGTGATTACAGGCACCGAGTGAAGTGATACAATAGGCTTCTTCACATAGTGAACTGATTTAACCGGTTTCGAGATGTAGCTAACCACAGGCTTTTTAACGTAATGAGTTGAAACTATTGGCGTTTTCACATACGAGATTTTGGCGACCTTATGGTGTGAGATGTCATAATGGTCCCCATGGCCGGCATAACCACCGAGATCCCAACCGTGGCCTCCGCACTGAACTCCAGACATAGAAAACAGAATACAGAGGGTGACAGCGAATGCTCCAAAACGAAGAGTCGCCACGAATGAAACCATCTTGAGTTTAGTCAGATTCTTCTCTTAGAAACCGTGAATCACTTGTCTGATTCAAGCGCTAGTTATACTCTGCGCTCGGCGAATGACTGTAGCCGTGTTTACCAATTGCTATCTTTTTATGGGACCATTTCCTGACTCCTTCTCTCGCTCGGTCAGGGTTTTAACTTTTTCTGTGCGGTCTTAGCTCAGTGGCAAGACTCCGCGCGGTATTCTCGTGCAGAGGCCTCCTTCTCTCCTGATCTGTTGGCAAGGCATTGTCCACGCCCTTGCGCAGGACAATGCTTAAACCATTATGAATTATGGAAACATTATTATTTTTAATCCTCAAACTATTGCGTCCGATATCCAACGTGCTGTAGCTATTCCTATAAGGCTTTGTCAAGAACGATAAGATGTGCCGTCGCTTTTTCTGTAAGCTAAACGCCTTGGCGCTGAGCGGTTAATTTGGGCGTCTAGCTTTCTCAGCGTCTATTTTTATTTATCTATTCAATGGAAAATAGTAGTTCGGTAGCGATCGTTCTCAGTTATATGTTACGCTGGGTCCTTCTGTCTATAAACGGAAATGACATTCTGAATATAAAAGCTATCATTAAATACATCGCCCCATTGCTGTGACCTAAATTTTGAAGGACAATAGTATTTAATAATATTTAGTAGTATTTAATAATCACTTGTACAAATAGGCAAGCTACTTCGAAAAATGTTTCGCCCCAGCTCATTGTAAGTTCCGTTCCGCGAGTAATTTGCGAGGAGGCCGGGAAGAGCCAATGATATTCTTGAAATTATAAA